ACTAAGCAGAAAATTAACTCTATCCCAGGCCGAAACCAGGATAACAGGGAAGTAGAAGCAGCGTGTACCACTTCCATTAGTTGACAGAGCTGCCAAAAGCTGTTTCAGATAGTTTGTTGCCCAGCAAACAGCATGCTGTTCCTCCATGTGCCTCTTTGTAAACTGCGTTCATGAAAACAAGCATAGGTTGTCTGCTATAAACTCGCAGAAAAACAACTCGGAGCCCTGCCATTTGAAGGAGATCTCTGTGCTTACTGAGACCTGCAAATAAAAGGCAATTACAAATCAGATTTTTTTTTTTCTTGGAATGCTGTTACTTTATTTTTCATCAAAGAGTCTGGGAGCTACGCCTCTCAGTAGTCCTTATTGTGAAACCAGCTATGAGATGTGGGAGAAAGGGATCACTTGATGACACTGAGGGGAAGAAAACGTTATTTCTTTGCAGATGTTAGGGTCTTAGGAAACCCTCTCTCTTTTGTTCTTTAATCTCAAAAAAACTTTGTCAGAGAACTTTGTCTAGATGGGAGAAGATACTGGTGCGTTGAAGTGCGTTTCCTGGGTGGAGGGAAGGTGTTGTGTTTGCCTTACGGACGGGGCATTTCTGGCTCAGACTCTGGATGGCCATCGAACTGTTGGTGTTTGCAGCAGTTTGGGTCTGGGAGAGTCGGAGAGCCTGGCCGGTGGCTCCACGCTCTCGCCCTGGCAGGCAGCAGGTGAAGAAGCTAGGCGAAAGCTTTGCCACCAGGGAAGGCAGAGCTACTGTCAGAGGTGACCTCAGCCGCGAGACCTGATTTCTCTTGGTCCTCCAGATCTCTTAGGTGTCCAAGAGAACTGTCAGGCAGCAGGTATCTGGCTGATTTCTTAGTTGTGTTAAAATAGGAGCAGGTGTGAGTGTGAACCCTGTGCTGGTGAGTGCTTAGCTCTAGGTTTTACAGCTGTTGATACTTCGGATTTTATTTTAAATATTGGTAACCTCATCCAGAGCACTGAGTGCTTTTAGGACACAGGCTTTTAAGGGTGAGATTGGTCTGCTGGTCTGCAAACATTAAGTGACGTAAGTGATTATTCTGGTGACCACAGTTTCATAAGCAATTACCTACCAGTCTGGTAGAATGAAGTAAGAGGGTAACGTTTGGCCAAATAGGTCTTTTGATAAGGCTAACGTAGCAAGAAGTCACACTGCACATTGTCTTAATCATAAGGGTAATGGACAAAATATTACTCATTTTTTATTGCTGACATATGACCAAAGTCAAAGAATAAACAAGATTAGCACTGGAAACAAATGCATAAATGACTGCAGTATTTGGCAGAGTATTTTGTGCTAGATATAGAGATACTCAGACCTGTACGTTAACCAGCAAATACGATCAACGCATCCAGCTTGAGACGTGGTCTATTTTCGTCATCACACCACACAGTGAGCACAGTTGCACGAGGGATGGTCTTTTGTGTTCAGTCATGTAGCCAGGAACAACATGTAGGGTTGCTGTACTATTTTCAAGATAAGGTTACAAAAAAAAAGAGAAGCATAACTGATTGATCAAATTATGGCAAAATTCCAAAGCCTATTATAAAGCAAGGAATTGATATTCTGGCCTTAAACAGCACTAGTGAACAGAAGATGCAATCAGTAATTTAATCAGTCTTTGGAAAGAAGAATAACATGTGTTGTATGTAACCAGCAGGAAAACAAATTAACTTCTTGCTGACTGACACGAAGGCAGCAGTTACGGGAAATACTTTTTGTAAAAAGCCCAAAATATTGCATTGCAATAACAGTCAGGAATGGATTTTGTTTATAAGATGTGAAAGTGCTAACTCAATATGAAATGCCTGGTGTTTTTTCTATTGACTGAAAAGGTCTTTCACGATATTCGTGAAATAATGCTAGGGATTATTTTGGCCTTGTGTGTTTTTTAGTTTCTTCGGGTCTGGTCTTTTTTTTTTTTTGGATAACTAAAATACATTAATGCCATAATCAAATTTAAAAAAAATAAAACAAAACTGGCTCATTACTGCCTTGGGTTCATTAATGAGCTAAAAGTTGATGATGTGCATATATTTAATCAACACTAATTATAATTTAGAAGTGCTTCTGTACCATCCTGAAATATTCCAGAGCATAAGGCAGCCCCAGTTTTCATCCAGAGTAACAAGTCCGCCATCAGTGGATTAAAGAGCCATTTATCTGCCACTCATTTGATTAGCAGACCTTCTTTAGTTATCAGCATTTTTTTCCTTTTTTTTTTTTAATTATTGAAAAGCACTACATTTCACCTTTTCTTAGTCAGCATTGCAACTGTCTGTCTTTGTCCTGAAATTCAGGTCACAGTTTGATTCGTTAGCAGCTACTGAGGACTAATCTTCCTAGGATGGGAGTGATTACGAATTGGCTTGAACAGGCAAATCCATGTCCTGCCAGACCCCAATTACCTTGTCTGGGCATGAGTTTACATATGTGCTCTACCACTTATCTAGCAAAGAAAAGATGAAAGTTTAGACGTGCATTCCCTTCATCGCGTCAGTGAATCACTGGCTTTTGAGACGTGCTGTTACCTGCCCAACAGTGACATTCTCTTTGCTTTGTCTCTGCTCAAGTCCACAGGAGCCCAGGTGCAGGTAGCAGGGGACATGTTGCCAAACTCGACAGAGCGTGCAGTGACTATATCGGGCACTCCCGACGCCATTATCCAGTGTGTGAAACAAATATGCGTGGTTATGCTGGAGGTAAGTGAGCACCTGGCATATCATTCACAGAATCCCAGAATGGTTGGTTGGAAGGGACCTTAAAGACCATCTCGTTCCAACTCCCCTGCCATGGGCAGGGAGACCTTCCACTACACCAGATTGCTCAAAGCCCCATCCAACCTGGCCTTGAACACTTCCAGGGATGGGGCATCCACAGCTTCTCTGAGCAACATCTTCCAGTGCCTCACCACCCTCACCATGAAGAATTTCCTCGTAATGTCTAATCTAAATCTTCCCTCTTCCAGTTTAAAGCCATTGAACATTGCCATAACACTCCATGCCCTTGTAAAACGTCCCTCCCCAGCTTTCTTGTAGGCCCCTTTAAGCACTGGAAGGCTGCTCTAAGGGCTCCCTGGAGCCTTCTCTTCTCCAGGCTGAACAACCCCAACTCTCTCAGCCTGTCTTCATAGGAGAGGTGCTCCAGCCCTCTCACTCTCACTCAAAGAGATGCTCAAACACATTATTAATTTTCAAGTGCCCTGGGTTCCCCAGGGGTGCTGCCTGCCCTTCACGTGCCAGGGATTTCAAGAGGACTCTGTTAGACTATGCCCTGCCTGGTGTCTGAGAGCCTCTTGCAACAGGGTTTAGCAATCAAAGACCAGGGCTGTCATGACACCGTCAAACAACAAACCAGGTCCAGCATGGAGCTGCAAGCTGTTCTGAGAGAAAAGCATTTTATTCTGATGCAGAATAGAGCAGAAAACATCTAGGTCTTGTTTTAAATAGAAATAATTCTGACTAGCGTAATTTAGATTTACCAGGACTTTTTGCTTCCTTGGGATCAGGTCATTGCATAAGGCCAGAATATTTTCTTTTGATGGCAGTTTTTTAGCTCTTAGATTAAATGATTCAAAATTAATTTATATAAAAATCTGGACATTTTAACCCTTGCTGAAAATGCCCATAATTTCATGCAAGTACCTTTCTCAACTGATTAACTTGAATAGAAATTTGAAAAAAAAAAAATAAAATTCAGCAGATCAAAATTAAATATTTTGACCTAGTAATCGTAATTTTTGACAAGGAACATGAAACATCTCTGCTTTATCACATTTTCTGCTGGAAAATTTTCTGTGGTTTTTTGGTTTGGTTTGGTTTTTTACCTAAGTGTAATCAAGGGCTGTCTCATGACGATCTCTGACACCCTACTGTTCTGGTGTTCTTTAAAGAGGGGAGAAACAGTGGAGTGTTTGAGACAGCACTACAGCTTTTGGCTGTTCAGAAGTATGCAGTGCATCAAAATGACATACAGCCTTTGCATCAAAATGTTATAAAGCCTAATTGAAATAAAAGCATAAAAACTAATAAATCCTCAGTATTTTACTGGGGAAAATACTCTTGCTTCAGTTTTTTCTGGACTACTGTGAGGAAGAGATTTCTTTACACAAATGCGAGAGAACCAAAAGATAATATAAAAAAATAATTGTAGTTTGTTATGATGGCAGTAGTTATCAGCTTTGTGAATACAGAGTGTAGTCTATTGTCCAAGTGACATTTGTGGAATAAGTAGTTATTTGTTAAAGAAGATGAGAGAAGCCACTTCTCAAAATCAGAGGGACACAGTCCTATTTTCCCACAGGTAGAGCCACTTTTTAAATAACCAGTTTTGACATAAGAAGTACTTAATTTTAGCGTGAGACAAATCGCAAGCAGCACTAAGATGACACTGGCTTAACGACATTTTGCTGCTTCAAATGTTTAAGAATATGAATGTGCTCTAATTTGCAGCATATATTTAATTTGGCAACAAACACTTTCATTGACAAGAAATAGCTAATTGTATTATATTAATTAACAGAAGTGATATTGTTGTTACCTTGTTTAGTTGTAGTTAATGCACTGACATCAGGGCATCATTCTGCTAGGTGTTGCACAGGCAGATTGAAGCCTTTTTTACAGATACATGCTCCTGCTTTATTTCCGAGGCAGAAATTAGCCGCAATCAGGGGTTTTCCCTTTGGGTTTTTGCCTTGGGCTACAGGGAACAAACTCCCTTTTCATGCATTATGAAGCCCATGGTTATGCTCCTGATGAAGCCAAGAGGATTTTTCTTCAACCTTCCAGCTCAGTCAGATGAAGGGCAGGATCAGGCTGGTCATTTGCAATTGAACAGCTGACCTAAATTGAGTTGGTAAAACAAGAAACCTTGATGTGTAGCAGTGTAGGAAAGCTCGATAAGCAGGAGATGTGCTCCATGTTAACAAAGTGAGAGCACAGGCCAGACTCTTCCAAAACAGCGACAAATTTCAAAATTGTGCCCATGTTTTCTGAAATGCCTTGACATGCTTAATGAAGCTTCATAGCTTCATCTGACAACGGTGGTAATGAAGCCACGAGTGCCAGCACTGCCTGTTTCGTCTGTGCAGTTGGATTTTCCCCTCAAAGCCCGGACAACTGTCCTCCAGCTTGTTTTTGGGCTGGTGGGGTGGAGGGCAGGGTGAGGTGGGCTGGGCTGGGTTAGCTGCATGCCTTGTTGTCTGAGGTGACCAAGATAAGGAGTGATGTTTTTAATACGAACTCTGCTTCATTCTACATTTTGATCGCTTTGTGTTTTTGTCTACAGTCCCCACCCAAAGGTGCCACCATCCCCTACCGTCCCAAACCTGCCTCTGCACCTATCATTTTTGCAGGTGGCCAGGTAAGAGCAGACACCATTTTGGCTTCAGCTGGAAACCACACCGTCTTGGCCCAACCTCAGCCAGCGCCTGTTAGTTCTCAACTTTTACTCTTTTTTGCCTGGTATAGTATTGATGTGCTTTGCCTACTCAGTGTGCTTACAGTTTACAGGAAAGGAGAGCACTGCATTGCAAGCTTGATGCAAAATTATGATGACTCGTATTTTACCAAATTTTAAAATTAACTTCTGTAATTAAGAAAAGTCCGCCCTTCTGCAAATTGAGAGGTGTCCAAATCAGACGGTCCCTGAGTGGGACAAAACTGCTTATTTGTAGGGGTTGGTTTTTTCACTCTTAACTAGCAGTATAAGCAGTTTTGTCTGTTTTCAGAGATGATCAAACAGCAGGATGTCTCTGCTCATGAAAGGCACAGATTTTCTCTGATAGTTTTCATATTTTTTAGGACCAAATAGTACATTTTGTAGTAAAAATTTACACACACATAATTTCTACTGCTTGTAGTCCCTCAGGACCAAGTAGCAATGGGGTTCTGAGGTTACAGGATCTACATACATGCAAGTGTAGACCTTCCCAACCATGGCGTGCAACAACCTGATTGATAACACAAGAACAGCATTCCTGTTTCTTCTTTATATAGTGAAGTTTTGATGATTCCCCCTTCATCTTAAGCTATATGAGTCAGGGTTCTCATCTGCCTTTAAAACCCCATGTGCAATGTGACTCTCCCTTGTCTTTTGATAATGCTCTGAAATGGTTCTGCAACGTGCTGCTGAGACATGGCGGGAGTTTGCTCTGCCATCATCCGTTGCAGGTGGAATTCACTTTCAGTAACTGATGAGCCAGCAATGAACACAGCTGATATGTACCCTAAAAACACCACAAGAGTCTCACAAGGGGACCCATATAGCCAGCAGGCTAAGAGCAGCCCTGCCCAGATATGTGCAATGGTGGAAGAGTAAGATGCTGCAAGCCCTGCCCAACTCAAGGGGGGACTGATCTCCTAAATCTGGCCTAGAGGAAGGTAGCCATTTCTCTACTCAGGATTCACGTATGTGAAGTCTCTCTCACAGTAAGGCACCCACACCCAGCCAAATCTTTTACCCAAGATGATGGCAGGGCCTCTTTTTAAGTAGTTACCCAGTGGGAAGAACCACTTACCTGCATGGTGGAACGTCTGCAGGCAGGTCCCACCTCCCGTCCCATTAGCCTAGCCCAGTTCATCACCCTGTCGTAGGGTCTAGAGACCATGTCTCACCCCAGCAGGCAATTCGGAGATCATAGGAGAAGGTGGACACGAGGTTCCTGGTGGAGCAGAGGGCACAAGCTGCTGCTGGTATAGGTGGTGGTATGATGATCCACGCCACCACAATCTGCTCTTTTGTGAGGAAGCTCCTGCACATCTCAAGCGTATGCCAAAGTGCCATTGCTTCTGACAGGCCCTTGTAATGAGCTTTCTCTGAATTTTTGTCTCAGAGTTTCATCTTCTACTCTATAATGATAAGTTGTGATGTACATCCAGATTTTCACAATCTGGATGTAGTAGCTTTCAGTTCCTGGTGTTGAAGTCTACCACTCTTAGTTGTCTTCAAAATAAGAAATCTACTTCCTTAGTGACCAAAGTTGAATTGAAATTTAAAATAATTTGCCAGGAATTGGTCTATGACTGAAAATTCACAATAATTTATTCCATATATATAAAAGTTTACACTGCAGTGCTTTCCTTTAAGAAGTACGTGTGTATATATGCAGCAGCCCACGTTACCAGTATTGTAATTGCCACTACCTTCAAAGACTGTCTCTGTATATGATTACTCAAAAGTATTGAAACTGTTTGCTAGAGTGCTCTGAACAGTTTGTATAAAAATTTGAAAGTGTCTTATTTTAAGGTCTAATAGCTCTTGTCATCTTCAGTTTTACCAGTTACAAAAGTGTTCTTGTTCTCTAATGCAACCTTGTTGATGTATGAAGGGGCGTAAGAGACATACACTTTCTGTGTGTTTTGAATTTCCGTGTTCTCTGACTAAGCAGACTTTTTAAGAAAATGCTTGAGATGTGTTTGGAAGTCCATATGGAAAGACACTTTAACCAAGTTTCATAAGTGACAATTAATAATGAAAATAAAATTTTATCAGCAGTGTTAATTCCATCCAACCTTTTGGCTACACTATCATAAGTTATTTTCCATTCTACATTACATCATGGCTATCTTGAGAGGTTTTGGTTTGTTTAATGCTTGCATATCAAGCAATACTAGCAAAATCAATTTCTAGTTTTCCTTAACAATATGAGATTCTTCTGCTGTAATTATTGCTTTTAATTCTCTTGTGCTACTTCGATACTGTATCGCATGACAGAACTAAAAGGAAGCTGAACACCCTCCTGCCCTGCTCTGCCTCTTACCAATATTTAGCATATGCAGTGGTTAAAAAAAAAAAACAATCCAGCACTCCTGCCTGATGGAAACAAATTGGAAATTTCTACCCACTGTGCTACATTGCTGTTTAGATGGGTACTTACAGGGTACAGCTTTGCTTTGTGTCTCATAGCAGTTTTATGGTTTAAGTTGAGGAAGATTTGTAGACCAGGTCATTCCTGTTGTTACTAATGTCAGTATGTCAGTAGGAAAGTTGCCCTTGACTTTGATGGAAGCAGACCCATAGCTCATGTCCTTAGTGAAACGTTACAGCACAGATGTCTCCATAGCCTCTACCGGGCTTTTACTTAGCATACCAAAGACACAGACGGGCACAGTTCCTCTGCCAAGGGGCAAAGCAGTCAAAGAAAGTTTTTCTCAACTTAAATCGATCAAATGACCTTTTGGGAGCCTAGGAAATGAAGAGCTTTATTTTTTACTTGGAAAGAAAATTCAAGACCCATCTTGTCCATGCTGCTTTAATGGTTTTCATAGGCAACCAAATAAAAGCTAGTCTGAGCTCCAAATGTTCATCATTTTTGTTATTTCTCCAGTTTGTTTGCTTCCTCATATGTATATATGGAAGTATGAGGGAGCAGAGTGATGAGGAAAGGGGTTTCTTCTGTCAGGTTCGCTGGCGATTTTTTTGCAGTGGTTACTTGCTGGTTTGTAGACCACTGCTTGGGAAGCACCCATGTAAAAGATGTTCTCTCAGCTAGGTTTGAAGTGAAGCCAAGATCAGAAAGGACACTTGTGATCCAGCACAGAGGCTTGGAGCCCAAAGCATGGTTTCCATGTTTGCTCATGGAGCTAAGCCCAGCGCTGTTTCCAGCTGTAACCTCCCTGAGGCTACTCCTTGGCTACACAGAGTACACAGAGCCCCCACGCTGCAAAGGGGCGTAACATCTCCTTAAGGTTCTCCTCATTTGGTAAAACACTTAAACACATGCTTTGCTTGCTTGAATACGTGCTTACTTAAGACCCTCTGACAGCAGTGATCACCTGTTTCGGTAGACTGGAACCTTTTCTTGTAATTTATAAACCATCAGTAATGACCATCCCCGTAGATGCATCTCAATATGTTTGCCCATGAGCATCCCATTGAGCCCAGTTGCACACACTTCTGCCTGCAAACTGTTCATGTACATAATGTTTGCTGGATTGCGGTCTTGCTTTATAATTAATTTAAAAATGGAATTAAATGTTTCTCCTCCAGAAGGGAAATTCTGCTGCAGAAATGTGCATGAAGCAGTTGAGGCATTAAAGGGTTTAATATCCGAACTCCATTAAATGAATTGTTTTATCATTTGCAGAGGATTCATTACTTTCTGAGAGGCCTTTTGTCAAATAAGCATTTTGCAAACTAAGCTAATCAGCTCTGTTCCCGTTTATAATTCTCCCACTACAAATATTTATATGTTACAGTTTAACCTTCTGCTTTCCTGCCTTTCTAAGCATAAGCACATTAAAATTTTTCTGACATGCTGTTCCTTTCAGAAAAGCCCTACAGGATATAATAGAAAATTAGAAACTCTCTATAGTTTTTTCATTGTAGGCCATTACAGAGAGTTGAACAGAGCAAGCAGGAGAGACAAAAGGGCTGTGCTAACTGGTGCCAGGCATGCTGCCATATCCCTCCTCACTCACAGGCTTTTTTTTGTCACCCTCACCTCACCCCAGTGCTGCCAGAAGTGATGCCAGAAACTATACCCCTTGTACTGCTCTTGAGGTGCAGAGAGGCTGGATTTGGAGGGAGGATATTTGGCTTCTTGTGGAAGATAAGACCACCACGCTGGGGGTCTCCATCATGGTCCTGTCTCCAAACTGGTGTGCTGGCCCCATGCCCAGGCACTGCAGGACAGGCTGCCATCCAGCACATGTGCTCACGTACCCGCTGGCGTGACAGCCTGAGCACGAGCCCCGTGGGGTGCACCAGGCACACGTTTGCTGGCACTTAGCATCTGTTGCTGTCAGTAGCCAGACAAGATGGCTCGGAGTCGGCTGGTGTGGGTCCCTGCGCAGGGCAGTCAGGAGCTGGATGGCAGGGCAGGGCATCCCCAGGGCATTTCTGCCCCATCCCCACTCTCCCCCTTGTTGTTTCGGCATCAGCATCTCCCTGCGTGCATCGGTGGCACTGGGTGGATGGGCAGCAGGGAGGGGAAGTGGCCACCCCTCTGTGCTCTTCGACCTCTGCAGCGTCCCCAGCTCTGCTCCCGGCAGACGGAGATGGACTAAAGTGAGGGGACCAAGGTCATCAGAGCTCAGGCAGTGGCACTTGGCATCCCCTGCTTGCAAGATGGGTGCAGGGAGCCCGACAGAGACCTTTCCATACCATGCCAAGCATTATCAAGCAGCACAAGACAATTAAGCTTCACTCAGTGTTGAAAGTGATGCGGGTGGCATTTGCCTGGGGAGCCAGGAGGAGATTTTCTGATGAGAACAGGGACGCTGCTTGTCCCACCTGACTGATCTGTGTCTTAACTGTGCTTGTTGTTTTCAGGCGTTCACGATTCAGGGCCAGTATGCCATCCCTCATCCAGACGTGAGTCCAGCGCACGTAAATTACTCCCTTTTTCTTCCTCTCCCTCTTATTTGTTCTGGGCAACATTTGCTTTCTGCAGTTAGCAATAATGACACAGCCTAAGGACACCTTTCCTGAACAACACACTGTAGAGCCAAGTGTTGGCTCAGCTGCATCTCTTTTATCTCGTGTAATACTTGCTAGAAAGTACAATGGCCCAGGAACAAATGACAGTTATCTTGGTCTTTTTTTGCATGTGATATATTTGAGTTCTTTTAATATGTAATTCTACAGTAATTAGTTAATATTAACAATAGCCATTACATGTAATAACAGTAGAGATGTCATTTATAACCAGTTTGGTTTTGTTTTTTTTTCTCTACGGTGGATTAGAATGAATGATTAAACCTTTTTTTTTCAATATAATTTTAATTAATCCAGTTTTAGAACATGTAAGATGGTTTCTCTGCTCTGAAATAATTCCATTTGATTGGTTAGTTCTAATTTCCCATCCTGCCCTGCAGTTGACCAAGCTTCACCAGTTGGCTATGCAGCATCCCCCCTTTACTCCCCTTGGGCAGACCACCCCTGGTTTCCCTGGTACGTACCCATGACCCCCTGGGGATGTCCTTCTTCTTAACAGCTTTGTATCCCGTGGTCATTACATCATTTTAATGATAAATGTGGTCAATGACCAGCGACCCTTCTGTTTTTACACATTAATCTCTGTTCTTCCCTCCCGCGCCTCTGTTACAGTTCCTTTCATCATTACTAAAACATGCTTTGTTTGTTACATTTATTAATCAAAACAGCTTCATTTGTGCCATTAGCTAAAAGCCCTGGGTTTCTTTTGTTCTGTCCTGGTAAAGTTATTATGGCCTATACAGTATGTACCAGTTGGTCTTGAGTGAAGTACTTGGGCATGCATCTTGTCAAATTTCCAGTTTGGTAACGTGGTTCAGAAAGAAGCAAACACAGGAAAACAGTATGTAATCTTGGTACAGGAATACTGATTAAAGAAAGTACGGCATGCTGAAACTCAAATTCCTCGTAGGGCCAAATGTCATAAGAGCATCTGTAATCATCACTGCTGGGACAAGTGACTCTCTTCCTACTAGATATGCAGATATAGCTACAAAATGCAATGGAAATTTGGTTAAATTAAGGACTGCAGATTTGGTCCATACTTATTAAAGCTGAAGCTGAATTCTTGATTCAAGAGTGAGAAGTCAATTAACCCTGCAATAAATCATTTTATTGTACTTCACTACATACAAGCTTGGCATCTAAAAACTTCACAAACCAGAAGTACGTATGTACTGGTACATGCTTTGTATGGCAAATAACATTTTATCACATACATCAAATTCTGTGAGCTACTTGAGTGTTTTATATTCAATGTAAAATAAGCATATGCAACTCTTAATTGAGTGTAAACATAAGCAAAATGTAGGTGAGTCCCTTTTTTGTAAGAGTATTTCTTTTCCATCTTTTCTAGTTGGAAATGAGTATTTTTGGCATGTCTTTACAGATAATAATACACACCAAAAAAAGAGAAAGGAGGAAAAGAGACAAGACATCCAAAATATACTTTTGTTTCTTTATGATGTATCTGATAAAATATCTACAAGTAATGCTAAATTGCCTTTCCTAGCTTTATATTTTCCTTATTCTTGTCATTAACATGCTGCTCCTTAGTCTTTTCCTGGTTATATTTGTGAGATGTACGTTTCTGTAATGTTACTGTGTGTTAGAGCAGTAACTCCATTTTTCCTGAGCATTTTCCTTTTGTCCACCCAATTTACAAACAAATGTATGCAGCTTAGAGTATTTCGCACATTTTCCTTTAAAAATTACCCTTCCCAACATTTCTTCAGCAACTAATCCCACATATAATTTCCAAGTTTTCCTAGGTTAATTTCCTTATTTTAATTTATTAATTTTTCTTTTTCATATCTATGTCTTTTATTCCACTAATTGTTCATTTGACTTCCACTTTCATTTTCCATATTCTAGAACTCCTGGTAGACAGGTCAAATTTCAGCCATCCGTTAATTTCTCAATTGATGTGTTTAGAACAAACAGAGGCTATTTTTAGGGGAAACGCTTAATTTTCTAGAAGCTTTTTATGACCCTGTGGAATCTCATGTGACATTTGTTGCTTTGGTGGGTTAAAGGTTAATTAAAATAAGACTCATTTAAAATTAGTCCAGCCCGCTGAGTTTTGCATCTCTTGCTTTCTTTTCTGTTTCACTAGCAGTTCTCTATTTTTCTTTGCTCCTCTCTTTTTTTTTTCTTCCTTCTTTCTGTATGTTTTTTTCTTTAAAATACCATTTGTTGTGTCTTACCCTTCTTGCAAACAAGTGGTGTAACATTTTCCCTCTGTCCCCTGAATAGGACTGGATGCCACTACTCCAACCAGTTCCCATGAACTTACTATTCCCAATGATGTAAGTGGACCAATAGTCTGTATCACTTTCTCTTCTCTCGCTCCTCTGCCATTGGAGGGGAAACCTCTCATCTTTGGCTGATTTGTAAACATTAGTCCTTGGCATAAACCGTACGGCATTTAGTCTGTTGGGGAGGGGGTATTAGGGGTTAGTGAAATGCTGGACAGGAGCAGCAGAAGGGACTGTCCCCTCTCGTCTCAGGTCTCCAGTGATGCTGGTTTAGTTGCACAGTAGTGCCCATGCTGCGATGCTTCACCAGCTTCATTAAAGCCTGGGTGCCTGCTGCTTGCAGTGGTCTTAGATGAGTCATCATCAAAGTTCATCTCTCAGGTGGCACTAGCATGGGTGGTCTTAGCAGAGGGTGCAAAAACGTGCAGCTCCATGTCCATGTTGGGCTGGAGTCCTCCATGCTGGGAGAGTGGAGAGCTTGCACCGCAACAGCTTATTCCATGCCGGTCTCTGCTGCACCCTGCAATTATCTGAGACAGCATTTTTCCTGAGCAAAAATAAAACACAGGGCTAAAAACAAACAGCAGCTCTGGACCAGCTGTAATCGACAGACCCAGTCTCCATGAGCAATATGGTGCTGAACCTCAAAACAGCTACTGAAAATGCCCAACAGATACGCTGCGTGTCATATAAAAATGCCTTCCCGTTTTATTCACTTTCATTGCAAATGGGGGGGTGGGGGTGGGTGGAGTTCAGTTTTCATTACGAGTGAGTCACTTGGAAAATGGAAGATTTCCCCTTCAGTAAAAAAATGCTTTTAAGCATGAGTGGGATCACAAATAGCAATTATATTGCCTAAGAGATACTCACAATATTGTGTAAGCCCTATTAAACTCAGTGGCAGTGATTTACAGTAAGAAAAAAATACAGAATAACAAAGAAGGGAAGGTGTGAATGCTGTGATTTCGGAAGCTTTCTGTTACTCAAAAGATGCCCTGCTGATTTATCAGTACCTGCTTTACAACCCAATTTATTGTATGTTGAGAATTTTATGGGAGGACCCTATTTGTCCTTACAGTGCAAGTTTTCTAATCTCGCTTTCAGGCAGATGTTGTTCTTGCCATCAGTGCTATAAATCCAAGGTCAGTCTTCTGACATCACTTCTTTCAGGGTTCATAGTGGAGAAAGAGAGGAAGAAAGTTGGCCTTGAGTCCTGTAGTGCAGTAGAAAATGAAAAAATCATCAGTTTCTCATCCAGGAGGTATGAAATGCCCCACCTCAGCACTATCCTCTGAAAAGCAAACACGCATCCGTGCGTTGTTTCTAATAGGTTTTTCTGGCTACGCAGTGCGTGTCTTGCTGTTACTGCTAAAGGAGCAAAAGCAAGGCCAAAATGGGGTTAAGCTTAGAAACAAGCTGCAGGGGCTCCACAGGTGGTGAAAGCGAGTTCTGGTGCTTGTATGGTGTCAAGGTGTGCATGAAAGGACCAAAAGGCATTAGTGCTGCGTGCGTGCGTGTGCGTGTGTGTGTGTGCACACCCAGTGCTGCAGTGCCAGAGGAGAGGGAAGGAAGGGCGCTCATGTCCCGTCAGGCATCAGGGGCTGCCTGGGAATTTTGCAGAGGGAAAACCAGTTTCCCTGTGCATTTCCACAAACCGTTTGCTCTGCCTGTGCCCTGGGCTGTCAGCGGTGCCAGGCTGTCCTTGGGCTGCAGCAGCAAGAGGGTACCCTGCATACCAATGTCCCGCAGCCCCATCACCGCTGCAGCAAGGCCGCTCTCTGGGCAGCCCAGTGCTGAAAATGAGGAGATGAGGGAGACAGAGGGGCATGGGGCAGAGAGGGAGCCGGGTGAGGAGGCACCAGCACCCATGTTTTGTGTGTGCCCTGTCAGATGGGGCATGGAGGGGGGGGTCTGGATGGGAGAGGCAACAGCAGTTGTGCAGCAAAGCTTGCATGGGTAATTTGACTTCACTTTCCTGATAAACATCTCCTAGTCCCGGTTTTGATAGACAGGCAGTCGGTGTGGCACAGCGATTATTTATCTGGTTGAAGGTGAAAGTAGCTGCGTGTGGCCAGTCCCCTGCCTGCCCCGACTCCAGGGATCCCCTGTGCTGCATGAGTACCCCAGCTTTCTTATCGCATGTGCTTATGTGTGCAAAAGTCCAGCAGGGATGACAAGAACATGAGACCTGGAAATATCTATGTGCTCTGCAGCTACCAGAGAAGTCAGTGTATATCTATATATGCTATGCTTATTTTTTAAAAACAAGAAATGATAAGCACATAAAGCCAAAGCCTCAGTAAGAATCTGGTGGAGCAAAATCAGATATAAAGATAATAAGGACCTCAGACTTTAGCCTAGTCTACAGAAAGTAGATATTAATAGCCATTCACAGTTTGCATAGCTTCATATTAAAATAAATTTTCCTCACTCCCTCTGACATTAAGGCAGTGACAGAATTTTTTTTCTGTTATTAATAATTCCTGTAACAACATCATGCTACTTTCTTCATACAGTATGCTGCTAATTGCAACTGACCTGTTGCTCGATAACAGAGATATCAGAGAACAAAGAAATGCATTTTACAGAAGGTTATTTTCCACATGCTAAAAGCCAAAGCTTCCTCTCCTAATAATGAATTCAGAAGATTTGCCTTTCTAGGTTTTCTCATAACTTCTAGGTATCACCAAAAAGAGACCAGAGAGGACATTTCTCCAGGTCCCTCTCAGAAGTCACTTTGATCTATAGCTAGTATCTCTTTTTCCTCATCAAAACCTCTTTTAGGGGCATTTGGTTGCCTTTCTTTTCTTGCTGGGATATTGTCTGGCCTTCTCCCGCTGCCTAAGTTACACAATATAAGTGTGTTTCACATAAATCCCAGAATAAAGTGATGTTAACAGTGGCAGGTCCTTAAAGGAATGGAAGGGGTGGTATCCCTGGGTGTAGCTGTTTGGGCACAGATACCAGGTGTCTTAAGATTTCATGATCCAATCCCCCCAAATGCCCATTGAGAGTAAATGATCAAACCAATAATTAAAACAATTTCATTAAAAATCATGCATACTTTGCATATAGATGGGAGAGACAGGCAGAGGCAAGTAACAGGAAAACAACTTCCCCCTCAGAAAGCACCAAGAACATTTTAAGAAAGCTATAAATCTGATCAATACTCCATAGAAACAGAAATGTCGATCCATCCAAGTTGGAAATGGCATACTGAAGAACTGCCTTCGTTTTCCCATGGAGCCAGAAGCACCTCCCTGCAAACGACGGAGGTGGACCCACGTGTGCAAAATGCTCTTGAAGCAGCCCACAGTGAAATCCAGCGCCAGCTCCACGTGATGCTCCAAGGAGGTCTGCGTGGTGCTGCCTCTTCCACCAGCGCTTGCTGGGCAGACTGAGCTCTCGTCTTTGCAGATCCCCAATCCATCATCTGCGATGGGAAGAATCGGTGCAAGCCCTTGAGGAGAACACCAGGGCAGCGTCTGTCCCCAGCTGTGACTTTCAGCAAGGCCACCCACCACCTACACGTTACAGAAATAAATGCATCTCACCATCCCTACGGCCCTCTTCCAGAAAAGTCCTGAGAACAAGTGCCATGTTGTATAAAACAAAGCTGATGGCTAAGTCCATCCCTGCCTCAGAAACTTTCCAGTTGTATGAGAGGGTTTAATAGCAATGGTTAGGTGAAGACTTAATAACCCACACAAGATGTGCTGGGAAAGGTCCTGCAGTAGCGTAAGTCAAAGCACTTCTACTGACAGCAAGGGACCTGTGTATTCAACCTCAATAAATTTACCTTATTGCTGAAAGCCTTCCGTGTAATAGAGAAATAATACTCAGAGCAAAAATACAGAATTAACCAGATTCTGTCAATTAGCAATGTTTAAGGGGATGTGTTATGAGAAAAAAAAAAAATCTCATTTTTTATGTGTTTGCGCATGGCCTGATTTTTGTCTCCCCTCAATCTAAGAAAATGGCATTTGATTCCTCAAGTAGACCTGTCCAGATGAGCTCAAGAATCAATAGAAAGATTCTGCAGATAATATCCATCCGAAGCAAAATGAGACCATTTGTGGGACAAGGCACTATTGAGCATTAAAAGGAATTCCCCCCCAGAATGACCTACTGCTCATTTCAGGGAACAGGATGGGAACCGACGTTGGGCCTTGAGTAAATTGAAATGCACACAAATCTGCAGAGTCATTTGGGTTACAAAACAAGTAATAAGAAGGCTTATTTCTGAACATGTTTTCTCTATGCCTTCTTGAAAAGTCTGTGAAATTATTATAGTCCAGCTTTTGCATTATCCTGGCAAGGAAAGTGAAGTTTATTATTATTATTAATATTATTATTGGTTTTTAAGAGACACAGAGTATTTAAGCATCTCTTTCCAGGCCCTGCAGTAAGTCTATAAAGAACTGTAATCATACCTCAGGAGTTTATTTCTCCCTATAGAGTACTCTGCCCCAGCATTTCTAACTAAAAACAAAACCCAACCCAAACCTGGAACTAAGAAAGCCTGTATCTTTACGAAAAGTGTTTGAAGAGTCACCTTCATGATGAGCACCTGCTTACTCAACTAATGCAGAGGCTTTGCCAAAGCCAATGGACTTGCTCTGGGTTGGCAGTGGGGAACCAAGGGGAACCGCGTGTACCTGTGGACAGGTATGGTCAACCCCTCTGCTCTGGACAGCAGATATCAAGTTGCAGAGGCCACTTGGCCCTTTGTACCAGGACCGCATTCATGATAAGAAAGGAATCTGCCTTTTTTATCAGTATTTAAAAAGAAAGTGAGCTCCATGCCACTTCCAGTGACAAGTGATACTCTGCAGCATTGGACTTGGATAATAAACCAAAAACTAAAAGTCTGATTGCTCCCGGTGCTGCACAGAAGTCATGGACATAGAGGAACAAACCTGTAGGAAACACCAAACAGAAAGCTGCTGTTATTAGGCTCTGTCACCAACTTTAGCATTATGGGAAATATATATATATATTTAGCATTATGGAGAAGAAAAAAAATGGAAGAGAGGGACCTGAACCAGATATGGCATCGCATATTGGGAGAAACTATTAGCATCAAGAGTTTGGAGCGGGAGAAATCACAGTAGACTTTCCATTCCCACCCTTTAGACGTCCAGGCTCCTGATTCAGTCCTTTTTACACTGATACCAGCAGAACTTAACTGAAGGACAGAGTAAACCTAGAAAAAGGCAAAAACCAGAATCCATGTTTTAGGGTTGGTTTTTTTGGTGGTGTTTTTTTTTTTTTTTGGCATGAGGATAAATCAGGTACATCGAGGTAGAGGAAGACAGATCGGAAGCGATATGGAGAAAGTGAAAAGGGAACAGTTTTTCCATGATCCTCACAGTCCAAGAAGGAGGGGACATCAGCTGAAATTTTGAGGTATATGGGCAAATGGTGATACCTACGCATGAGCAAGCTCTGCAGGTCAATGCTATGGCCCTTCTTGGGCACCAGAAGGAGAGACGGGTTCAAAAAGAAATTGTCGGACACACGGACTATTGAGCATAAAGGCAGAGATACCAGCTGCTGCTCAGGTAGTCTGTAAGCCTTAGGTGGGAATCTGGGATACCATTGGAAACTTTGTTTTATACCTCACAGTGTTTTTATAATTTTTTTTTTGTAAGTGTGTGCTACTGCCACAGTCAGAAACAGGCTGCTGGGTCAGGTGCACATCCAATCTGCGCTGTTCCACTCAAGTCTTGAGAGAGTTAAAATATATATGCATACACATATGCATATTATGCCTGTATGTATATATGTGTATGTTATATACATTACACATACATATATTTATAGTATATGTACTATACTATAGTGCATAGTAGGCTTGGTATAGTCTACAGTACCTCTGGCTCTTCTGTCACATGGGCCAGCTTTATCACTTGTTTTCTGGAGAATTTCCTCTTGATTTATTCCATAAGTGAAAGTAAGGCTTACTGTATGTTGAGCAAGCAGGTGAGCATCAAAAATAACACAGCACCTAAAGTCCTTGAAAACAGCTATACGCTTACTGTCCTCCATATTCCCTAACTGTGTCCTGTAAGCTTGGAAAAGCAGCGAACCCAGGTCTGTGAAACATGCAGCTTTGCATGCAAGGTAGCAACTTTCAAAGCCTGGGGAAGTTTGCTTTTGTGGAGAGGGACTTTTGTGGGACTAAATTACACGTAGCCTGCTAAATCATGTGAAATGGACGGCTGCAGAATGACAGGGCGGGCAGCTGACAGTGTTAGAAAGGTCAGTCTTGAAAAGATAAATGTTTGGGTGCAATTTGACATGGCTTCATCTCAAAGCAAGGCAAGGCAGGCGTTTTTTTCTAAAACCAAATGTCCACGGCCTGATTGATCAAAGCTTCGTAGGTGAAAACCAGTCCCTTGAACTTCTTCCAGAACCCATCACCTCTTGAATATTCAGATACTGCACAAATTTCAGCATATGTAATACGTAATGGGAAAGGCACCCCAGAGAGAGCCCGAGCACCCAGCACTACTGTCCTTCCAGTGCGGCAAAGGGCAAAGTGTATTCTGTGTGAGCTGCAGGTCGTGTCCTGACTTGCAGAGCATGTTCCAGCAGCCCATTGTCAAAGCAACAAACGATGACTTTGGAGAGATTCAGCCCAAAGGTTACCAAACCTCTCTTCCAGATGGTCGCATCACCAATATCCTTGACCAGTCTGGAGTGAATCTTCACTGCCTAACTCAAAGTCAGCTAGAACATTGCAAATTCTTTGTACTGACCCACCTGGGTTACAAGCCTCGTTGGAGGACCCCCAGCACGTAGAAGTGGCAGTCTCCTGAGTGACCCAGCAAGTGCCCTCTCAGAGCTGGTGAACCAGACATTTAAGACTATATCTCACAACGTGTCTGAAGAACCAGTAGTCCCACACAGTTCCTCTGCTTTGAATGCCACAAAGACAACCACACCTGTGAACTGAATGGCTTGAAATTCTTCTAAATAATATATTTTTATATATTTTTGCAAAAAGTAATTTTATCAGATTTCCACTCGTCTGCTTTGGACAGACTGAGGGAATATGTGCAGCCTCCATTTTCCTGTTAACACTTAAGACATAATTATTAAAGCAACCAGAAGCATGTTCAGATCTGCACATCAAGTTGAGAAGTGTCAGAGCAATCTGACAACGTGATGGGCACCGTAACAGCTGCTTCACAGAGCCTAAATCCTGGTCACTGCTTCATAAGATCATCAGTAGCAACAGATGGATTCTTGACCAGTCGCTTCAAGATGATCATCATCGCAAAAATGATTAGATGCTGGTTGTGGCAGAAGGAAATACTGACAGTCTCCACTCCTGTGGGCCACTTCAAGCCACTCCGGTATCTGAGGGAACAACTCTGGCTAGCAGTCAAGTAAAGACGACCCAAGGTTTTTCCCTGCTCTGTGCTCCATTCTGCTTCTGCAGTAGTGAACACTTCTGACTGGCTTTGGGTAAATTATAGCTACAGTATGGCATGCAAATGATTCATGGGAACAAAATTATGGAAGTTCATCACCAGGTTTTGACAGATAAGAGTGGATCTAGCGCTGCTAGCTTTGCTGTGCAATGATGCTCTGGTAGGACTGCCTTTGCTTTCCTCACACTGAAGGCATACTCTGATAAAAACCAAACCCCACGACTGGTGCTGCCGCCTGTGCGCTGGGCACTCTTCTCTCCTGCTTCACCTTCACTGCCTGCGGACCGTGGGGGGCCAGTGAGACTGAGGGGTAGGAAGGGGATGCTTAGGGATCCCTGTGCTGCTAACAGCTGGTGTACACAGGCACAGCCGTGTCTGCATTGAGTCAGGCTAGAGGCTTCCTGGAGAAGCTCACACAGGTCCTCTGCACTGGCACGGCAGTCACACACTGAGAGACGTTCTCGGGATAAGGACAGGGAGCTCAGCGAGGCCCGTCTGTTTGAACAGGACAGGGAATCTTGTGTGGATTTCCTGAAACCCCATTTTTTTTCCCCTTTGTGGCTTCTCCTCTTGTGCTTGATCTCTGTTTTAGGTACCTGCTTTGGTTTTGTGCCTGAAACATGAAGCAAGGATTACACTGGGGGGGGGAGGTTCTTCTTTTGCTGAAGTGTCTTGACAATGTGAATCTGTTTCTGGCAAGATACTCCAAAAGTACGACAGTACCAGAAAGGGTAACACATCAGAGCCTGAAGCAGCGGGAAGGGTGGGAGGGGAAGGCAGTCTCTGCATCTTGGAACGTCCTCCTGGCTACATCATCCCAGTGTCAGCAGACCTGTTGAGCAAAGTTTCCATTTTCTACCCATTCTGGCCACAGTATCCCAGTGTCAACAGACTTGTTGAGTGAAGTTTCCATCTTCTACCCATTCTGGCCATCGTTGAGCTTCTCAGCACCCATCCTTCCTTAACACAGAATAAAAGCCCCCGCCCCCCCCCCC